TGCAGTTACTTACATTTAAAAAGTAACATTCTTAATCCAGGCTCTTAATTTTAGCAAGCTGCAAATGCTTATAGAATGCATTGAAAAACAATGTAATTTTCATGTTTCAGAGGAGTGTTGCTAATGACTTAAATGCAGTGACATTTGAAATGTGTAATGATATGAAGTTTTGCATTATAGATGAGGGTGGGTAGATTCTGGTATCTAATCAGCTTTCAGTTTCCTTAAAGGATTTTCTCAGTCTCCATAGTTCACACCATTTGTCACGTAAACATTTGGTCAAATGTAGATGTCAGAAAAGCCATGTGAACTATTCTCGATCAGCTGAGTGTGAATGTACTACTTTGGAGATGGGTTGGTGGTAAAAATGAAAACAGTTTCAAGTTATGCCAAAGTTAGATACATCTGAAGACTGCCTGTAGTTGTAGGTTCCTACTCTTGTGTTATCATAGCATCCAGGAACATGTTTAAACAAATATCAGATTGGTTGTGTGATGGATCTTAAATGATGGGAGTTTCTGAAAATCAGTACGTCCAAGTAAATGCTGTTTTCAGCAACGTAGTCACCTTGGGAGGTCATGCCATTTTTTCCAGGGGATGCAGGGTTATTGCTCAGATTCTTACCTAAAACAGTATTCCTCAGTTGAATCCTCATCTCCTTAATCAGAATAAATTCTAATTCTGTACTCAAGAGATTTATCACCATGGATATATACTTTTTAAGTGGAAAGAAAGTTTTCTTAAGTTACTGGTCATAGTAAGACAAAGTTGATAGAGCCTTCCAAAAGGGAGTATGTTCGGGCGGGGGGGTGGGGGGATTGTTTGTGGCTTAGTGGTAGAGCGCTTGCCTAGCATATGTGAGGCACTGAGTTTGAGTCTCAGCACCACATGAAAATAAATAAATAAAAATAAAGATGGGGCGCGGAAGGAGTGTATTTAAGAGTTGTCAAAGGAAAGAAAATTGAAACTGCTCTTGTTTACTCATCCCCAAAGCTCAGCCTTTGACCCCTAAGTGTTCACTTTCCTTATCTGCACTTCTTGCACAGTATGATCTCAGGAGTTGTAAAGCTCTCCAGAGCTTTTCTAATATTTTACTTTTGTTTCTTTAGGTATTTCTGGAAAAAGCCAGCTTCTGTTTGCACTGGTCTTTACAACTCGTTACCTGGATCTTTTTACTTCATTTATTTCATTATATAATACATCTATGAAGGTATGGTATGGCATCTGGTAGGATGTATTTTATCTGTAATATACAGATCTATGGAAGCTGTCAATTTATGTCAATTTTTTTTCTTGGTTTAGTTTTGGGGTACTAGGGATTGAGCTTGGGGAGTTATTCATCCCTAGTTCTTTTATTTTTTATTTTAAGACAGGACTCACTAAGTTGCTGAGGCTGGCCTCAAACTTGTGATCTTCCTGCCTCAGCCTCCTAAGCTGCTGAGATTATAGGCATATGCCACCACACCCTGCTTCCCTG